TCCCTTCTCCAGGGCATCTTCCCAACCCAGGGATCGAACCCAGGCCTCCTGCATTGCAGGCGGATTCTTTACCAGCTGAGCCACCAGGAAAGCCCAAGAATTATGGGGTGGGCAGCCTGTCCCTTCTCCAGGGGATCTTCCTGATCCAGGAACTGAACTGGGGTCTCTTGCATTGCGGGCGGATTCTTTACCAGCTGAGCTACCAGAGAAGCCCGCTATGAGCAGAAGAGGTATGCTTTTCTAGATCCCATCTTTAAAGGCAAGGCTATGCTCTTCATGGGCTTCCCTGGTGGCTTAGATGGTAAAGGATCCACCTGCAATGTGGGAGACCTGGGTTTGATCCCTGAGTTGGGAAGATCCCCTGGAGAAGGGCATGGCAACCCACTCCAGTATTCTGGCCTGGAGAATGCCATGGACAGAGGAGCCTGGCGGGCTACAGTCCATGAGGTTGCAAAGAGTCAGACACACCGGCACATGTGTACATGTGTCTTCATGTCCCTTTTGCTCTTCCTCCTTGCTGGAGTGTGGAGGTGATGCTTGGAGCTGGAGCAGCCATTCTGGGCTGCAAGACAGAAACCAGGTCTTGAGCAAATCCCCGAGAAGGTGGGGTCTCTGTACCAGCCCTTGGAAGCTTGGCTGAGTGCTACATGAAAGAGAAATACACATCTCTCTTGATTAAGCCATTTCTATTTGGGGGTCCCTTGATAAAATGTGTTGCATTGTCACTGCCTCTGGCTGTTTACAATGATGTCGCTGTTTCTGTGTATTGGGGTGGATGGTGTACCCCCCAGATTCATGGCCATCCAGAACTTCAGAATGTGGCCTCTTTGGAACTAGGGCCTCTGAAGGCCACGTGAGGACTCTCGGAGGAGCTGCCACGCTAGCTCCTGGCTCTGAGCAGTGCTGTGGCCGCCGTTCCATCTGCGGCCTGATGTGGTACTTCTGGGGCTCCCCTGGCGGCTCAGCGGTAAAGAGTTCGCCTGCAGTGCAGGAGACCTGAGTCCAGTCCCTTGGTTGGGAGGATCCCCTGGAGGAGGGCCTGGCGACCCACTCCAGTGTTCTTGCCCAGAGGATCCCCATGGACAGAGGAGCCTGGTGGGCTACAGTCCAAGGGGTCAGAGTCGGACAAGCACATCATGGTGCTTCTTTACCACAAAAGCTGCCCCAGAGAGGGCTGGCGGTCAAGGAGCCAGAGGCCCTTCCCCGCTTCCCGGCGCCTACAGCCCCTGGCATTACAAAGCATTGGAATGGCCTTCTCAAAAGTTCACTTAGCAGACTTCTGACTCCACCTCCTAGCCCCTCCTGGCCCCTCCTGGCCCCACACCTTGGTCAGGTAGCTCAGCGCCAACTAGGACTGTCCCCAAAGGGGGACACCTGTCATTGGTCACCACGGCAACGACCAGAAGGAAAGGCAGGTGGGACTCTATAGCTTCTTTGGGGATAACCAGGATCTGACCCCGATCCTAACCCTAAACAGGCCCTCCTGAGCAGAGGCCCCTCCCTTCTTCTAGGAGGACCCTTTGGCCAGCCCGGATGGTCCACAAGGGGATCAAGGTGATGAAAACTTAATTCTGTTCCAGCCATCTGGATGCTCCTAGCAGCCCATCCCAGTCTTCAATCCAAGTATCACTACCATTTGGTTGAAGATATCGGGTATCTGAGGGTAGGCCACATGGTCCAAATTGTGAGGCAGAGTGAGTCTCCATAAGTTTTGTAGAAGTGCCCGTGTTGGGAATTCCCCGGTGGTCCAGTGGTTAGGACTCAGCACTTCCACTGCCGAAGGCCTGGGTTCAATCCCTGGGTTGGGCAACTGAGATCCTGCAAGCTGCATGAGGCGGCCAAAAGAATAAATAAAAATGCCCGTGTCTCTTTTGCACTCTTGAGGGCCCCTTGGATGGAAAGGAGATCAAACCAGTCAACACTAAAGGAAATCAAGCCTGAATATTCATTGGAAGGACTGATGCTGAAGCTGAAGCTCCAATACTTTGGCCACTTGATGCAAAGAACTGACTCACTGGAAAAGACCCTGATGCTGAGAAAGATTGAGGGCAGGAGGAGAAAGACAGCAAAGGATGAGATGGTTGGATAGACTCACCGACTCGATGGATGTAAATTCGAGCAAACTCCAGGAAGACAGTGGAGGACAGAGGAGCCTGGCGTGCTACAGTCCATGGGGTCGCAGAGTGGGACATGACTTAGCAACCGAACAATGAACAACAACTTTTGCACCAGACCTGTGTCAACTGGGTCCCTATTAGCAGACAAAAGCCACATGGCAATCTGAACTGGGAAAGTTCTGCTTCAAGAATTACTAACTGCAAAGGCGGATGGAAGTGAAGGACACACAGAAGTGACCTGTAGGGAATTCCCTGGTGGTCCAGTGGTTAGCACTCCATGCTTTTACTGCCAAAGGCCCAGATTTGAGTCCTGGTTGGGGACCTAAGATCCTATAAGCCACGCAGCTCAGCCTGAAAAGAAAGAGAGCAAAGCGCCACGCTGGGCTGAGCTGGAGCCCCCACTCCCAGGCTGAGATCTTGCTGGGAGAGCCCAGCTGTGACTCACGGGACAGCAGAGAAGTCACTGTGGTCCTGGCAGACTTGCAGGAAATCTGCCGTCTGGAGGCTGCTGGAAACCACCGTCCCGGAGCTGGGAAGGCTGCTTGCAAGGGCAGTGTCTCCGCAGAGACAGTCTGCTGCAAAACCATCCCAGGGCTCATCTTTTCAACAAAAGTGCTGGAACAATTGGATATCCATGTGCAGAAACCCCAAAACCCCAAGCCAAAACACTGCCTTGATCATGTACTAAGTTGTTTCAGTCGTGCCCAGCTCTGTGCGACCTTATGGACTGCAGCTCACCAGGCTCCTCTGTCCATGGAATCCTCCAGGCAAGAATACCAGAGTGGGTTGCCATGCTCTCCTCCAGGGAATCTTCCCGACCCAGGGATCAAACCCACTTCTCTTGCATCTCCTACTTTGGTAGGCAGATTCTTTACCACTAGCGCCACCTGGGAAGCCGTGTACCAAAATGAGGTCAACTGAATCACTGACCCAAATGTGAAATCTCATACTATAAAACTTTTAGAAGAAAACGCAGAAGAAAATCTGCGTGACCCTGGGTTGAGTTAGGCAAAGATTTCTTAGATTTGACAGGTGCAGACGAACAAGAGGAAAAAATGGACAAACTGGGCCTCATCAAAATTAAGAACGTGTAGGACTTTCCTGGTGGCTCAGTGGATGGGAGTATGCCTGTCAATACAGGGGACACCGGTTTGATCCCTTGTCTGGGAAGATTCCACATGCAACTCAGACTGTGAGCCACAACTTCTGAGCCTGTGCTCGAACCCTCGAGCCACAACTACTGAAGCCCACGCACCTAGACCCCGTGCTCTGCAACAAGAGAAGCCTGTGCCCAGCAATGAGGAGTCGCTCCCACTCGCTGCAACTAGAGAAAGCCTGCACGCAGCAGCGAAGACCCAGTGCAACCGAAAAATTAAAACTAAATAAATAAATAAAAGAAATTTAAAAAAAAATTAAGAACGTGTAGTCTTTGAAAAGCACCGTTAAGATGAAAAGACAAGCCAGAGACTGGGAGAAAATCTTTGGGAATCACATATTTGATAAGGAGCTGGTTTCCAGAAGATATAAAAGAATTCTCAAAACTCAACAAAGAAACACACACACACACACAAGTTGGGCAAAAAGTTTGCATAGATGCTTTGCCAAAGAATATATACAGGTTGCAACTAAGTATGTAAGAAATAGCCAACATCAATAGCCTTTGGGGAAATGCAAATAACCACAAAGAAACCACAAAGAAACAGGCTCCCCACAGAATGGCTAGAATTTAAAAAGGGTCGATACCAAGTGCCCAAGGGAAAGTGGAGCGACCGTACCTGCGGGAATGTAAGGGTCGCCTACACCGACCACGCCTCCGACCACGGCATCCCCAGCCTCTATCACCTCAGGGAAAAGGAACGTCCTTAGCACAGAACCTCGAGTTCTGACCTGACGGCGGCTCTGCGCCTGACGTCCCCAGCCAGGACCAACTCCGAGGGCCTTCAGGAGGTGACTGACTGGCTGATCGAGTTGGTGCCTGGTGCCGGCGCTGGCAAAGGGGTGCTGAACGTCCAGGGCCTCTGCCCAGTGACAGAGGCCAGACCTGGAGGCTGTGGCCGCAGGGGACGAGCCGGGTCTCACCGGGACTGGGCCCGGGGCGGAGGAGCCTGGAAGAAAGCAAGGCCCGAACCACTCTGCAGTCTGCAAGCGGTGGTGCCCACGGGGCTGTCTGTGCAGACGCCGGCAGCGCCGCACGGTGCAAGAGTGGGTCTTACTCTCTTTAAAAAGCGGGAGAAAGAGGCCAAAGCTGCCGCAGTGTCCACGGCCCCTCCAGGCCCTGTGGTCCGCGCAGGAACCCAGCAGGGGCCTCGCCATGCCTCCTGGAGGGCCCCCGCGCCTCCCGCGCCCCGCGCGTACGACCCTGCCCCGGGGGACCTCCGCAGGCTGCCCGGCTCCATCACCCGCTTCCTCCTCCGCCGAGGGGCGCGCCACGGCCCTGGCCGTGCAGCCGCCTCTCTTGACCGCCGCGCGGGCGGCGGGGGCAGCCGAGCGGAGGCGAGCCGGGCCCGCGCACGGCCCGCGCCCACCATGCGGCGGCTGCGGCGCCTGGCGCACCTGGTGCTCTTCTGCCCCTTCTCCAAGGGCTTGCAGGTAGGCGCGTCCTCGGCCCGGCTGGCTCCCGCACTTACCTCCCGCCCTGGGGCCCGGGCCGCGGCGGGGGCGCGCGGCATCCAGCCCGGGGATCCCGGGCGGATTCTGGACTCAAGGTCGCTGAGGGCCGGGGTGCCTGGTCCCTGGGGAGCCGGGGGCCGGCAGGGCCCGGGGCCCGGGGTGGGGGTTGCCGATAGGGTGAGCGGATGCTGCGGGGTTGGCCCCAGTGCCTCTGGGGCTGCAGAAGGCCCCCGCCCCGCCGCGGGCCGGAGCTGCTCCCGCAGGCCCCAAAGCCACACCAGGTCCGCCCCGCTTTCCTCTACTTAGGAGACCAGGTTTGTCTTTCTGTGATGGAAAACTTGGGACCCGTAGAAGTACCCTAAGAAGGGCATACCCTCCCCCTGGGCCATCCCCCAGCCAGCCCGAGATGAGGAGTGTGCCCTGACCCCACAGTGACCTTGGACAGATCCCCGTCCCTCTCGGGACCCTGCCTTCTGCAGAGGAGCCCCAGGCTGCTTTGGGGGCCGGCTGCCGCGATGCCTGTCATGGCTACTTGGGGTAGTCTGAGCTGGGCTGAATGCAAGCCGCAAATTATGCAGGCCAAACCTGCCACCTTCACGACCCCAGCCCCTGGGCAAAAGGAGACAGCCCTGATCAGACCCGCCCAGAAGGGTGGGAGCCAGGTAATGCACGCAGGGGCTTGTCTGCGCCAGAAGCCCTCCTGCCATCCAGAGGTCTTGGGGGGGTAGGGGTCCCCACCCAGCTCCGGTTCGGGTGGGAGTTGAGGGTCTGTGTCCTTCCCCAAGCTGGGAGGTGGGGGTGCAGCGGCCCCATCCTGAGGGAAAGGCCTTGACAGAGGAGGCCAGTGTGGTGGGTCTGGGACTGGGGGTGTCAGGCCTCTGAGCTCAGCCCGGGAATAACAGATGAGCCTGGACAGGAGAGGTGATGGGTTCCCAATGGCTTGGGTTGATTCTGAGATGCCCCCACTTAATGTGAGGACACACCCTGAACCTCAGTTTCCCGTGTGTGAAACGCACTCCTGCGTTGGTGGTGAGGGGTGGAGGCCGTGGTGCACGTGGGCTGCTGGCCCCAAGGCTGCCGGTCATCATGCTGCTGTGTCCCCCGAGTGACCCCCCAAGTGCCCCAGTAGGAGCCAGGCAGGCCGGGGGTGGGGGGAGCCGCCGGCCCGGGGAACACTGAGGACTCCCCCCGGAGGAAGTGCCCGCCTGTGATCAGGGCCTGGGGGTCGCTCAGAGCTCGGCACTGGGGTCAGTGTCCGTGGAGCGGGGCCTCCGCGGGAAGGCCGGAACTGGAGGGGCTCTGGCAGGAGGATGGGCCGTGTCCGACGTGGGCCCTGCGGTCAGGCCGGGAACCTGGGTCTGGCCCAGGTCAGCACCTGAGGCCAGTGCAGGCAACAGCCCGCCCTTCTCCCGCCTGTCCCCCAGGACCCCTGGCGCCGGCTCCCAGAGGCCCTGCCTGCCTCGCGGTCACCCGCCATTGGAAGTCTTCTGACCTTGTCCTGTCCCCAGCAACGCCCCTGGCTCCCCGGCCCCCCACCCGCTGGTCTGCTTTCCTGTTTTTCCCTTTGAACAAAACTGGCGGAAACAGATGTGGTGGCAGGACCAGTGGGCCTGTGACCCGGCCCTGCCACCCTGACCAGGGCCACCCTGGGCCTCCATGGCTCCGAGCCTGTGCTGGAACTCTCGGGGGGTCCTCCTGCCTCAGCGCCTCCTGGGCTGGCTGGCTGAGGGGTGGGCCAGAGAGCAGGAGTGGGGGACCTTGCCTCTCCTGGAGGAACCATAAAAACGAGCGCAGCTGCCTGGGCTAATCCTGGAGGCCCTGCCCCATCCTCAGGGGAGAGCCGCTGGCCCCATTTCTGGGCCCCAGCCTCCAGGTGGCGAGAACCCAAGGCTGACCAGGACTGGAGCCGCCCGCTGACCCTCGGGTGGTGGGATGTGTGGCCAGTGCTGGCAGTGGCCCTCGTCCGGGGCAGGCTGGCCTGCCGGCCACTCTCCCGGGCCCTCTTCTCTGGGGCTCAGCTGACCCGGTCGGGGTGTCTGAGCTCTTGCACGGGGCAGCGCCTGGTAGCCCTGGCCCATCAGTTGACCACCCCTGGACAGCAGCCACTGAGGCCGTGATTTACCAGGACGGGGGTGGGGAAGGAAGCTGATGCTCCTGCAGTCCTGGCTTGGGGGCTGGATGGGAGACAGTGCCCCCCAGTTCCTGTAGGGCTGTGGGTCCCCCCCACCCTGTGATTCCACTCGTCAGCCGGGGAGACCTGGCCGAGGGACTGAGCCCTCCAGAGAAGCAGCTCCTGGGACTGAGCCTCTGGCAGCGGGGCCAGGGGCTGAGTGTCTTAGTTATCTGTTCTTTATTATGGTAAATTGTACATGGCATGAATTTAGCATCTTAACCATTTTTTAAGTGCACCGTTCAAGGGCATTATACACATCCCCGTTGTTGAGCCACCATCACCATCCATCTCTAGAACTCGTTTCATTTTCCCAAACTCAGGCCCTCAAGCTCTGTCCCCTTCACACACTCACTGGCTGTCCTGGGCAGGGCCCCCTCCTCCCCCCGCTCCCCCTTGTCGCCACCCTTCCCGTCTCTGTGGATCTGAGTCCTTTAGGTTGTGGCATGGGTGGGGTCACACAGGCTCTGTCTTGTGTCTGGCTCATTTCCCTGGACATGATGTCCTGCTGGGTCATCCATGCCTGGGTCAGAGTTCTTTGCCTTTTCATGACTGGATACCGTTCTCTCATGTAAATGGGCCATATTTGGCTTGCCCACTTCTTTCTCAGTGGATCCACGGGATGTGTCTACCCTTTGGCTGCTGTGATGGGGGGGGGTGTGTGAAGCTGTGTCCCTTAAAAGCTCGCAGGTGACCACGCCTCCGAGCCCGGCGCTCCCTGCCGGCCCCGGTCCAGCCTGAAGTCTCCCCCAGTGGGAGGAACCATGTGCAGGGTGCCGGGCCAGGGTGAGGGGTCCGAGGTGGGGGAGCGCAGCTCCAGCCTGACTTTGTACAGAGGTTACATGTCATGATGAAATGAGGGCAGGACAGGAGGAAAAAATCGTTCCAAATCTCTTTATTCAGCAAAATAAAGAGCTGTCTACCCTAAATCCTCCTCATTTGGAATTAATTTTTCCCTGCCTGTGAGATTTCAAGGTCTGGGAGACACCAGGCCCCTCCCTGCCTTGCACGGGGAGTGGGTGCGCGGAATGGGGGAAGGAGACACTGACTGGGGAGGGGCTGGGGGGGCGGGGGTCTAGGAGGCGGGGCTGGGGTCTCTGGGGTCTAGGAGGCGGGGTCAGCGCGCCTGCAACGCTGTGCTTCTTCACGGCCCCTCCCCCGCAGGGCCGGCTCCCAGGCCTGAGGGTCAAGTATGTCTTCCTGGTGTGGCTGGGCGTCCTCGCGGGCAGCTGGCTGGCCTACGTGCACTACTCGTCCTACGCGGAGCTCTGCCGCGGCCACGTCTGCAGAATGGTCATCGTAAGTGTCGCCTGGGGCCGTCTGCGGGCTCCGTCCGCCCCCAGCTAGCGCTCCTACGGTGGGCAACCTAGAAACGGGGCTTGAGGCGCCCGCTCAGTCGATTCTAGGAGGGTCTGGCTGCGCCCTGCGGGGCTGTCCCTGCAGGCCATGGGGGAGGTCGGGAGGAAGGGGTGCCCCATGGAGCACAGGCGAGTGGCTGGGGGTGGACAGATGGGCGGATGGGTGGACAGGGCCGGTTGTAGACATGTCAGGAGGGGCCAGGGGTCCAGCAAAGGAGGCTGCAGGGTGTGGTCTTCGGGGCCTGGGGGTGGAGATGCGCTAAGTCGCCACTATGGCTGGTAGACCAGAGCTGTGCACGTGTGTGTGAGGGCGCTTGTGAACCTGTGTGTGCTTGTCCACGGGAGTGTGTGTGCCCACGAGCACTGCTCCACGTGGCTTACGGCTCCTGCTAAAGGATGCCCTGTGACTGGTGGAGGGGGAGGTGACGCCAGCCGAAGGGGCCTTGGTAACCCTCAGACGCTGACTCCGCCAGCTTCCCTGGGCAGCGGGGAGCCCTCGGCGGGCTAACAGGGTCTGGGGCATCCATGCCTGGGGGGACCCGCCCTGGCGGAGCTCCTGGGGTCCTGAAGTGGGGGCAGTGAGACCCCTGGCTTTGAACCTGTCTCCTGGTGGGGGCCTGGAGTTTCTGCTCCCCTGCAGGGTGAGGGGCGCTCTTGCTGGGGGGCTGTGTGGCACTGTGGAAGGGCTCAGCAGGCCTGTTCCGCCCAGGGTCCCGTGGGGGCCAAACTTGGGACAGTCCGGAGGTGGTGGTGGAGGGGTCCAGAGCCAATGTGACGAGACTTGCAAGGGGCCCATCGATTGTCAATTGTCCGCTGGGGGCAGGCCAACATCAGGCACAAAGGTGCGGCACCCAGCCCCAGGGGAAAAGGCCTTGTTTATTCCAGAAGTGCTCGCTGGGACCCTGCAGGGGTCAGAGCCAAGCTGGGTGCCAGACACACAACTCTTCTCCCAACCTGGCGGGCTGGGGACGCCCAGGGGCAGGTGTGCATGTGCAGGGAGTCTGGGCAGGGGCGGGAAGAGGTACTGCTTGGGACCCCTTGCACCAGGCAAGGTCCTGGGCTGCCCGCGTGGGTGGAGGGGTCTCTTGGGGCAGTGAGACCTGGGAGGACACGTGAGATGGTCCAGTGGGGTGCAGTGAGCAGCTGCTCAGAGCTGGTGAGTGTTTTCTGAGCACTTCCTGTGTGCCCGCAGCAGCCCCCTCAACATGCAGAGGACTGGGGGGCCCTGGGAGAGCAGACAAGGAGCGTGCCCTCCCAACCAGAGGATCTGCAGCTTCCATCTTCCCAGAGTGCCCTGGCCTTCCCGCCAGCGCCAGAGCGGTCTCCCTGGCTGCTGGGCCGTGGGGACAAACCCTCCTTTCCTGAGAAGACCTAGCCACCTCATGGGGGTATCAGCTGTCTCAGAGATTCCACAGCTTGTCCAAGGTCACCCAGGGTGTGCGTGGGGGGGAGGCAGGACCAGGGCTCGCGGACCAGGTACCGATGGACCTCAGGGTGCTCGGCCCGGTTGCATACAGGAGACAGGCTGGGAGGGGAGGGGTCTTGCCCCGTCTGAGGCTGCCGGCCACACTGACCACCTCAGCTTCGGTGGAAGCCCCTCCCCACCCTGGTGGGCAGCGTGGCCGGCAGGCCCCGACCCTGGCCCAGCCTGGCTGCCCGCACTGGCAGACACGCTCACGAAGGGCCTTGCAGCTCCAGGGGGCCTGAGGGGGTCAGAGCGGACCCCTGCAGGGGAGGGCCTCCCCTTTTCTGTCCTGATGAACGGCTGTCGGGCTCTGAAGCCGCAGCACGGAAGCCTCCTCCCCGGTCCCGTAGGTGAGTCCAGGGCCTTGGCGTTCAGGAGGCCCTGCCTCCCTGCCCCCAGCATCCTCCCTTCCTGCAGGCCTGCTCCACCAAGGGCCTGGGCACCATGGCAACGGTGATGCACATCCAGGAATTCACCCGCCACAAATCTCCCCCCACCTCCCCACCTAGGGACCGCCCTGGGAAGGGCCTCACCTTCCGGCTTGGCTCAGCCCACACCCCCGGGACTCAGGGGGCTGCAAGGCCCTGTCTGGAGCCAGGAAGGGCCCGGAGGGGGCAGCGGCTCCTGCAGAGCTCGACCTGATCAGAGCTGCAAGCCTCTCCCTGTGTGTCAGCTAATGAGGCGCGGGCGGGCGGGCGATGGAGCCCTCGCTCCCCCAGGCCACTTGCCGCATCTCCCTGCTCTCCTCAGTGTGACCAGTACCGCAAGGGCATCATCTCAGGCTCCATCTGCCAGGACCTGTGCAGCCTGCAGCAGGTGGAGTGGAGGACCTGCCTCTCCTCCGTCCCAGGCCAGCAGGTGAGCCCGGCGGGCCCAGCCCCGGGGCTCCGCCGCCCGCGGTGCGGCCAGAGCGGGCGTGTGCACAGCGGCTCCTGTCTTCCCCGCAGGTGTATAGCGGGCTCTGGCAGGGCAGGGAGGTGACCATCAAGTGTGGCCTCGAGGAGAGCCTGAGCTTGAAGGCCGGGGCCGACGTGGCCCCCCGGCGGGAACTGGTGCTCTTTGACAAGCCCACTCGGGGCACCTCGATTAAGGAGTTCCGGGAGATGACCCTCAGCTTTCTCAAGGTCAGCTGGCCCTCCTGAGGGCGGGGAGTGTGTCAAGTTCACGCCCAAGGACGTGAGCACAGGGCAGGCAGCAGGCTGGATGGGGGGCCACATGGGCCGGGGGTATCTGGCTAGCCCACCGGCTCCAAGCAGAACCCAAAGGCGTGAGGCTCAGGGAGCACCCACAGGCATAAGAACCCGCCCGGGGCCGGGGGGCAGGGGGCGGGGAGGAGGCCAGGGAGGAGGTGGGACCCGGGGGCGGGCAGATGAGGGGTGAGCGACCCCCCAGTGCTCCCACCTTCATGCAGGAAGTCCCCGGGCTCCCCAAGCACTGGGGGCAGAGACACACGTGGGCTTTCCAGGAGTGGTGAGGGGGCCTCCCCAGCGCCTCGCTGCCCCTTCCTGCTGGGGGCTGGAGGCCGGGCTCCCCGGTCGGACCGATGCGTGGGCCGGGTGCCAAGCCTGCAGCTGCGCGCCCACGTCCCGCCTCCCCTCTCTCAGGCGAACCTAGGGGACCTTCCCTCCCTGCCCGCGCTGGTCGGCCAGGTCCTGCTCATGGCCGACTTCAACAAGGACAGCAGGGTGTCGCTGGCCGAGGCCAAGTCGGTGTGGGCGCTGCTGCAGCGCAACGAGTTCCTGCTGCTGCTGTCCCTGCAGGGGAAGGGGCACGCCTCCCCGCTGCTGGGCCACTGCGGGGACCTCTACGTCACGGAGGGCGTCCCACGCAGCTCGGGGCCCGCGGCCACCCTCCCGGCCCTGCTGCGGCCGCTGCTGCCGCCTGCCCTGCATGGGGCCCTGCAGCAGTGGCTGGGGCCCGCCTGGCCCTGGCGCGCCAAGATCGCCATCGGCCTGCTGGAATTCGTGGAGGAGCTGTTCCACGGTGCCTACGGGACCTTCTACATGTGCGAGACCACGCTGGCCAACGTGGGCTACACGGCCAAGTACGACTTCAGGATGGCAGACCTGCAGCAGGTGGCGCCCGAGGCCGCCGTGCGCCGCTTCCTGCGGGGCCGCCACTGCGAGCGCAGCGCGGACTGCACCTACGGGCGTGACTGCCGCGCGCCCTGCGACACGCTCCTGCGCCAGTGCAAGGGCGACCTGGTGCAGCCCAACCTGGCCAAGGTGTGCGAGCTGCTGCGCCACTACCTGCTGCCCGGCGCCCCCGCCGGCCTGCGCGCCGAGCTGGGCCGGCAGCTGCGCACCTGCGCCACGCTGAGCGGGCTGGCCAGCCAGGTGGAGGCCCACCACTCGCTGGTGCTCAGCCACCTCAAGACCCTGCTCTGGAAGGAGATCTCCAACACCAAGTACACCTGAGGCCCAGCCCCATCCCGCCCCCGGCGGACACGCGGCTCCGCCCACCAGCCGCGCCTGCCGCCGGGCCTCTCCCCGCCTCCCACACCGGACAGGACCTCTGCCGCCGGAGCGCGGCGGCCACGTGGCTCCCGCCCCTGCACCACCGCCGCCGCCCCCCGGGGTATTCTGGGCTCCCACAGTGGAGCTGGCAGGAGAGAGGGAAGGACTCACAGCCCAAGCACCGAGGGCTGGCCCTGGGACCTGCCCAGGCCTCGGTCTCGTTTCTTTGGAGAACGTGTAAATAAAGCTTTTCTGTGAATTGTTCACTCACCGAGTCGTGTTCAGCTCTGCGGCCTCTGACTGCATGCAGCGCGCCAGGCTGCCCTGTCCTTCACTACCTCCCCAAGTTTGCTCAAGCTCACGTCAGTGATGCCATCCATCTCATCCTATCGTCCCCTTCTCCTCCCGCCTTCAATCTTTCCCAGCATCAGGGTGGGTTCTTCGAATCAAGTGGCCAAAGTATAGGAGCTTCAGCTTCAGGCCTTCCAATGGATATTCAGGGCTGCTTTCCATTAGAATTGACTGGCTTGAAAGCACACCCCTCTTTATGGTCCAACTCACATCCATACAAGACTACTGGAAAATTCATAGCTTTGACTATATATGGACATTTGTCAGCAAAATGATGTCTTTGCTTTTTAATACACTGTGTAGGTTTGTCACAGCTTTTCTTCCAAGGAGTGTCTTTTAATTTCATGGCTACCATCCCTGTCCCCAGTGATTTTGGAGCCCAAGAAAATAGTGTCACTGTTTCCATTGTTTCCCTATTTGCCATGAAGTGATGGGACAGGATGCCATGATCTTAGTTGTCTTAAGCCAGCCTTTCCATTTTCCCTGAGTACCCCCACCCCATTCAACCTGGAGTCTACTGCAGGGAATGGGGCAGCCACAGGGGTGCATGTGACCCCTGGACCCACATCCTGGCAGCTGGCTGCTTGGGGTTGACTGGGGCCAAGGGCAAGGGTGACTGGAAGCTGAGTGAGCCCATGGTTCTCAGTTGTGACCAGCCCTGACCTGGACCACACGTGGATGGGGACGTAAGCAGGGGCACACACAATTACAGAACTTCAGATTTCATCGATTTCAAACAGCTATCGTTGTCCAGGAAAGAGCCCAGGACCCTGACCCTCACACCCTCAGCTCCTGTTGGGGCCCTGGCTGGTCAGACAGAGAAAGGCAAGTCAAGGGAGTTTATTCAAGATGCATTTATTCTTTACAGCTTTGCCAACACGGGGACATGCTCCCTCACAAAGACAGGAGATCTTTCCACTCACTGTAACACCCTGTGCTGAAAACATGCGTCCCAAGGTTTCAGCTGTGAGACACTCATTCTCAGGACTAGTTTGCAAACCTCACCGACATTCTCCCCTTGGGTGGGGGGATAATCCAGATACAGCTCAGGGCTGTGGGGTGGGCCCGCATACAAGATCCTGCCTGCAGCTCCCGGCTGGAGGACGCTGCCTCAGCCCTGCTGAACCACATCGAGGGGGAGCAGCACACACTGCCACTGCTTTTCCACACGACATGCTAGGCCCACACGTCCTTCTTCAGGGGAACTTCCAAGGCCGCGCCTCTCCCAGGCTCTGTGCCGACCTCCACTGCGGCGGTGCAGGGCTGCTGGGCTGCTCACTGGGGCCCGCCTGCAGACAGGAAACCGAGGGGGCTCACTAGGCGCGCCTCCCGGTGCAGACGGGTCGGGCCAGTGTCGGATCGATGCCGCTCCCCTGGTCAAGCCTCCTTAGCTTGGGCGGAGACCTCAGACAGCAGCGGGGTTGCGGAATGCAAAGACAAGCCTCCTCAGCCCCATCCCCCCAACACTTCTCCCAGTTTCTAGGTGATTCAGCCAGTGAGGGTCATCAAGCAGGGTGGGGAAGGACATGCCGCCGCCAGGCTCAAAGGTAGACGGACTGGACCTGCTGCCACCTGCAGCCGTCGGACTTCCGGCAAGTCCACCGTCACCCTGGCCCCACTCCAGTGGAGAAGCCACAGAAAACTCAAGCGTAGAATACGAGGAAATGTGGGCAGCCACAAGTTCAAGATCATTCTTAAAAAACAAAACACCCGACCTGGATTAAAAACCCACCAGCCACACACAGTGCAGACAGCGCTCGCCTGCAGTGTGGCCCCTCCCACAGGGCGTGAGGGCTGGGTCACACTAGCTCAGGGGGGCCAGCGCTGCCAGCAGGGAGTCACCAGCTGCATCCTGCTCCCCGAGTTCTGCCCAGGGCGGCTTTTAGTCAGGTCCTCGAACACCCCCAAGAGCACCCCCACAACTGATTCCAGCCAGCTACACACACTCCCCCTGACACATCCCTAACTTGCCATCCAGCTGCCCCAGCAGCTAATGACTCCCTTCCAGGAGAGTCCACACCCAGATTCTGGCAAACCACTGTCTACTGTGCGGGTCCAGAAGCTGTTAGACCCCCCAGCCAGCCCACTGCCCAGCTTACCTGTCTTGACACGTGTCCTGAAGAGTCCCACCTGAGGGTCCCTCTCCCATGGACCAGCTGCGCCTATGGATCTGTGAGATGGAATCTAATCAGCGAATCCTCCCAAACCCTGTTTTTCTGCAGCAGCGCCATCAATGAAATCCTCTGGCCTTCCCTCAAGGGACTCCTAAGCAGTCCTCCCACAGACTGACAGAGCCATTCATTTCCAGCAGACCCTCTCCTGGTCAACCCCACTGGACCCAAGCTCGCCACCTGCCTGTCCACTCAGTCCTCCCCGGCCTTCCCTTCCGCGCACGTGGGAACAAGGGGCTCTCTCGGTGATGTCCGGCTACAAACCATTCTTAGTGCCCACGGTTCTGAGCACTGAGCGTAGAAATAGCCGCTTCCTCTCTGCCCCAACGGCACAGGTGCAGCAGGGTGGCCGCACCCGTGGTGCCGGTGAGTCCGGCATCTGCAGGGCAGTGCCCGCCCCCCAGGCCTCCAGGCGCAGCTCAGCAGAGCACGGCCTCTTACCTCGGTCTGGAGCGTGGGGCTGCTCACTCTCGCCGACTGCCACAGGCTGTCACCACCCTTCCTCTACCAAATAATAAGAGTGGGTGGTCCAGAATCAGTGAAGAGAAGCTACTGCTGAGTACTGAAAACTAACGAAGGGGGCTGCTGGCACAGAACCCCTGGTGGTCAGCTCCAAGCTGAGACTGACAGGGTCTGCCTGTGCCAGCACCTGGCAGTAGGCTGGTGTCTGATGAACCTGGGGGACCACAGCGTAGCCGGGCTCCTCTATCCATGGGATTTCCCAGGAAAGAATACCGGAGTGGCTGACCATTCCCTTCTCTTGGGTCTCCTGCACTGGCAGGCGGATTCTTTACCAGTGAGTCACCAAGGAAGCCCATCCAGGAGGCCCCCCCCCAGAAATCTCTGCACCTTCTCTCCCAGGGAGCTACCAGTGAGACACTGGATAGATCAATGGACCAGAAAAGTACAATGAACAAGGCGACACAGGAAGAAAAACGCTCTGGAATTTAAACAGGCCTCATCGTAGGCCACTGCAGCTGGTATTTAGAACTGTCTGTTGCTATCTGTCAACTTTTTCCTTTAAAGAGTTTCTGGCTGTACAATCCATCATAAAATTTCTTTTAAGAGGCAGAATAGCTACGTGTGAATACCCTATAACATTTCAATCCACCTAAAACAAGCTCAATTATGTCAGTTGCTAGGTGGCATTGAGCTCACCTTTGAAAGGGAAATTTTAGTGCCACCATTTCATAATGCAAGTAGGTCGGCCTTAGTGAAACCTACCCATCTTTCCTGCTGGTCGCTGCGCCAGGGGCAACCGCCCACCTGCTGCCGCTCCTCACACGACAACCTCGGGGTGACCTGGGGCCCAGCCAAGCGCTAGGAGCAAATTAAGGCGTTCTTACACGACAGGCTTCAGGCAACACCCACCCACCCTTGGCACTCTGTCAAGTGTCAGACTATCAATCATCCAGATGTCCACCGGCCAGAACACTGGGCGTAGACCAAGCCTCTCTGCTCTCTGCCACCTCATGACACAGACGTGACACGGCAGCCACACCTGCAACGCCTCTGGGGGCAGTGCGGGGAAGGTCATGACACCCGTGGGTCCGAGTCCCGAGACTTTCTGTGCGCCTGCGAAGCGCGCAACGAGGCCCTTCACCCAGGTTGGCTTCGCTGCACTCGCCCTCCAGGCCTACACCTGTCTGCACGCCAACCCCAGGTACCTTCCGTTTGATTCCCTGCTTCATTTCGGGCTGTGTGGAAAACCGAGGTTACGATACAGCGTGCAGACTCCAAGGGACAGAAGGGCCGCGCTATGCATGCCGCCGCCCCCTCCCACTGTTGCGTTAAGGGGACCCCGCTTCCACACCCACTGCGTTACAACCCACGGATGACCCGTAGACCAACTAGCTTTGAGACAGGGCCCAGTATACAGTGGCGATCAATACGTTTAAGGACAAAACCAGACATTAAAGGCTCCTGCGCTTCAATTCCCACCGCAACGAGCCGGAAAGTTGGCCGGGCGGGGGGGCGCGGCACTTTCCCCTACTATCCCAACTCACCCGTTAAACCCCCGCTGCTTTGCCATGTTCCCGAGGCTTCCAAGCCAGGAAACTGCGGAGAGCACCCCGGGCGGAGACGCCGGGCGAGGGGCTTGGCCGCAGGCGGGCCCTGGGGCGGACGGGCGCGCGGCCTCCCGCCGAGGCCACAATGAGCTCCCACCAACCTCTCCATCTTCGCCGCCGGGAAAGGACGCGCGAACGCGCGCCGCGCCTTTTATAACGCGGACGGCGGCCCGCGAGGCCCAGCCCGCGCCCTCCCCGAGTTCGCCGGCGCCGCAAGCGCCATCTAGCGGACCCTCCCGGCCTCACCGCCTGCGTGGCGCCCGCGGGCCTGAGCTCCTGCCAGCCGCGCCCGGGGTGGGGGCGATCCTCGCGCGGCCCCCGCGCCTCCGACGGTAGGGTGGAACCTGCCTTCCGTGGGCGGCGGGACAGCACGAGCTAGCTTCTGCAAAACACTTGGACGCTTGCTCCTTGGAAGAAAAGCCATGACTGACCTAGACAGCGTATTAAAAAGCAAAGACAAAGGTCCATCTCATTACCGACAAAGATCCGTCTCGTCAAGGCTATGGTTTTTCCAGCGGTCATGTATGGATGTGAGAGTTGGACTACAAAGAAAGCTGAGCGCCGAAGAATTAATGCTTTTGAACTGTGGTGTTGGAGAAGACTCCTGAGAGCCCCTTGGACAACAAGGAGGTCCAACCGGTCCATCCTAAAGATCAGTCCTGAGCGTTCACTGGAAGGTCTGATGTTGAAGCTGAAACTCCCAACACTTTGGCCACCTGATGCAAAGAGCTGACTCATTGGAAAAGACCCTGACGCTGAGAAAGATTGAAGGCAGGAGAAGGGATGAGATGGTTGGATGGCATCACCAACTCAATGGACATGAGTTTGAACAAACTCTGGGAGCTGGTGATGGACAGGGGGGCCTGGCGTGCTGCAGTCCATGGGGTCGCAAAGGGTCGGACGCGACTGAGCGACAACAAGAGCACTTAGAACCAGGCAAGGCCCCGTGCGCGTGTCCTCCAGGGGATCTTCCTGACCCAGCGATGGACCCGATCTCCCGCCTTGCGGGCAGATTCTCCACCGCCTGAGCCGCTAGGGAACCTTGAAGCCCAGAGGCACCGGTGGCCAAAGCCGGCCGCAGGGACTGCCCCGAGCCCCGGGCGCCCCTGACCTGGGGCCACCCCTTGTTCCCTGCAGGAGGGCCTCCCGCTTTCTGGGAGGCTTGGCTGTGCGGCTGGCTCTGCCACAGCCCCCCGGAGCCCCCGCCCCCAGGGTGGGTCTGAGGCCCTGCGAAGGCCTTCTTCACCTCTTCTACAGATACAGACCTCTGCCAAGCCCCACTCAGGAGGGGTCGCCTAGGTGTCGGCTCTGACTTGGGATAGGGACTGCCCGGGGGCGCTGGGGAAGCCTTGAGGTGGGGTCAGGGAGGACCCACCATGGATTCATTAGTCTCCTGAGACTTCTTAAAGCTCACCGGTTATGGCCAGTTTGGGCTACACCGCCGTGAAGTGTTGCTAACTGGGTTCTCTGTGGTTGGGGGCAGGGCGGGGAGTCCCAGACCTGCCTCCCAGGGCAGCCCCTTGGGCCACTGGAGTGTCCCAGCGGCACCGCGTTCCTGGGCAGCTGGGGTGCCCTCTCCTTGAAGCACAGTGAGCGGTGGGGCCTGGTTTCGTGGGAGCAGGCTGAGCAGATTTTGGGACGGAAGGACCCCTCCCCTCCTACCCACCCAGCAGCCACAGTGACCAGCTGGCAAGCTGCAGACACAATTCTCCAAGAACAGGAAGCTTCCAGAACTGGAGAGGGGTTCCTGGGCCCTCTCGTAGGATGCCCTGGCCCCTGGGGTCCAGTGCTCCACCACCCTGGCCCTGTGGCGGGCTGACACGCTCCGGTCCCCGAGGCAGGTGGTGATGACGCGGTTGGCCACACTGCTGAACGGGCTGACGGTGGCACGGACGGTGGGGGCCAGGTGCTCCTTGCCCTCCTGGCCCGCGGGGACCAGTGGTAGGGGACCACCTTCCTGAACAGCTCCTGAGGGGGCGGGGGAGGGTCACCCGGCTCTGCGGCACCCTGACTCAGCACCCCAGGTCCCCCCTGCAGGCCTAGGCGGGGTTACTAATCAGAGCTGGAGCTCTGGAAACTGGGGACCGGGGCGGGGTGGGCACCGTCTTTGCTCCTGGCCCAGCGTCAGCCTCTGGGGGCTGCTCCCGTGTCCCTGTGTGTCCCGCCCCCTCCCCCTCTCCGCCCCCTAAGCCTCCCCTTCTCACCCTCAGGCTCTGCCTCTGAGCTGCACGTAGGCCGCCAGCGGCTGGAGGCCGAGCCCTGGGGTGGGCGGTGGCAGTGGTGGTCTCTGGCCTTCGGTCGCCTTCACTGCAGGCCGAGCCTATTGGCTGCGCTCCTCGGGCCTTCAGCCCCAGCATGTGGACCCTTGCTTTCCCAAACAAGGCTCAGAGTGACCAAGAAGACCTCGGAGTTTGGAAACTGTGACCACTGTTAAAATCATGTTTGCGTTAGACCGAGAATCTCCCTTCCAGGGATTTAAGCTAAACAAAGATTTATGGACTCACATGTTCCCTTCAGCACAGCGATGGGAGAGAAAAATTGGAAATGGACTCAGTATTTACATGATTCGGGGGCCCTGGACAATTCAGAAGAGGAAGAGGATGGACTGGCTGATGTCCACCAGGGGAAACTGGGTTCCGCAAAAGCACACGCCTTGGAATCTTCCTCGCCCACCAGGGCTCAGGGCACACGAGGGGAGGGAGGGCTTTCTTCTTTAATTCTTTATTCCTTTAGAATTCATTCTTTTACATTTACTCTCCTTGTAGTAGCCAGTCAGTCACTAAGTGGCATTTGACCTTTGCGACCCCATGGACTGCAGCACGCCAGGCTCCTCTGCCCTCTCCTGTCTCCCGGGGTTCATGTCCACTGAGTCCGTGATGCTAGCTAACCATCTCATCCTCTGCCCCCTGCCTCTCCTTTAGCTTCAGTCGTTGCTCCACAGATGAGTGATAAGTGGATGAGGTCCTGCTGTCCCATCTCCCCTTTGCCTGTGGATGGCGAGCCCCACGACAGCCCCCAGCATTCCCGCCTCCAGGCCCACACCCGTGTGAGTCCTCCCTGAGGGTGTAGGGGCTTTGGGCTTTGGGTTCAAATGAACAGAATCGGGCAAAAGCGATGGGCTGTCGTTTCCAAGACTCACTGATGAAAAGTCTGTGACACCTCCTGGTCCCCCCTCCTGGGTTTCTCTCTCCTGTCTCTGTCTCCCTGTCTCTGATGCAATGTTCCAGAGAGGCAGGATCAGATGTTATGAGGTGACCTGAGGCTCCAGTACAAAGAACTGACATTGGGTCAGGCCCACAGACTGGAAAGACCTGAACCCCCATCCATACTGAATCCACCAATGGCCTCAGAGACAGACCCGCCCTGATGGAGTCTCAGCTGGGACCACAGCCCAGCCTCCTGGGCAACCTCGGGGCAGAGGTCCCCATCTGAGTGGAGCCTGCATCCGGGTCACAGACACCGTGTGAGGGTCAGGGTTTGCCCTCTTGCATGCACGCGCTAAGGCGCTTCTGTCGTGTCCGACTCTTTGTGACTTTGTGACTCTATGGACTGTGCCTGCCAGGCTCCTCTGTCCACAGGATTCTCCAGGCAAGAATACTGGAGTAGGTTGCCATGCCTTCCTCCAGGGGATCTTCCCGACCCAGCGATCGAACTCACGTCTCCTCTGGCTCCTGTGTTGCAGGAGGATTCCTTACCGCTGAGCCACGGGGGAAGCCCCTTGCCTTTGTAAGTGAGGGGAAGACCATCACAGACCCCAGGACATCCATCGAGACCCGGGTCTGCCCNCGCGGACTCGCTCCCCTGCCCTCGTCCACCCGGGGCGCGTGCCCGTCCCTCGCGCGGCCTCGCTCCCCTGCCCTCGTCCACCCGGGGCGCGTGCCCGTCCCTCGCGCGGCCTCGCTCCCCTGCCCTCGTCCACCCGGGGCGCGTGCCCGTCCCTCGCGCGGCCTCGCTCCCCTGCCCTCGTCCACCCGGGGCGCGTGCCCGTCCCTCGCGCGGCCTCGCTCCCCTGCCCTCGTCCACCCGGGGCGCGTGCCCGTCCCTCGCGCGGCCTCCCTCCCCTGCCCTCGTCCACCCGGGGCGCGTGCCCGTCCCTCGCGCGGCCTCAGCCCTCACGCTCCTTTGATCATTGCTTTGGAAGCCTCAGAGATTACCCCCGCACCGCCCCGCCCCACCCCCCGCCCCAGCTCGCTGCTCAGAGCGTGCGGGGCTGGCTGCCCCTGTCTCTCTGGTCGCGGCATCGGTGTCCCTTGGAGCCTTGTGGGCCCCCAGGGCTCCCGGCCGTTGCCCAGGACCCGGACTCCGCTCCCTGGAGCGCGTGCCCGTCCCTCGCGCGGACTCGCTCTCCTGCCCTCGTCCACCCGGGGCGCGTGCCCGTCCCTCGCGCGGCCTCGCTCTCCTGCCCTCGTCCACCCGGGGCGCGTGCCCGTCCCTCGCGCGGCCTCGCTCTCCTCTCGTCCGCCCGGGGCGCGTGCCCGTCCCTCGCGCGGCCTCGCTCTCCTGCTCTCGTCCACCCGGGGCGCGTGCCCGTCCCTCGCGCGGCCTCGCTCTCCTCTCGGCCACCCGGGGCGCGTGCCCGTCCCTCGCGCGGCCTCGCTC